GGAGATTTGAGCCTAGGTGGCAGTTCAGAACCTGTGCCTTTTGATTATATCAGTGGAGGATAGTTTAGCTTAGGGACCCCTAAGAGGGCAGACCTCTTCAAGCGGTAGCCTATGTCGATAGTCCCAGTTACTGAGGAGGATGAGATGGGAGAATTGCTTGAGCCCAGAGGTTTGAATCAAGGCTGGCCAACATAGCAAGACCCTTCCCCCGACTCCAAAATAATAATAATAAAGAGGCAGCCTATGGTGGTAGAGCCAGGGACAGGGAGGCTAAGCAGAATTTTTCTCCTGGGAAGACCAGGAAGGGTGTACTGAGGCCCCTCTACCCTAGTGGCTGTGTTGGGCCTGGCCTGGGCAAAAGGACACAGCTTCCTACTCTCAGCAGGTGCAAGGCTGGTGGTATTCTCAAGGCTGTGGACAAAGTCAACTCCTGCCTCCTTCCAGAAAGGATCTGATGCAATTTTTACAGATTTTTAGGATAAAAACAACAAAACCAGCAAGCAGAGACTGGAGTAGAGGAATAGTAATCACCTAAGAAGAGGAGTCTAGAAAGCTTGGGATATAGAAAGGCGCACTGCGGAGCCTGTGCAGTGTTTATGTTTGAAGGAAGAGTGGTGGTTAATGGTTCCTGTGGGCCCTCTAGTGGACACAAAGGGAAAAAACACTTGATTTGTTCAGCATATACTTCTTACACACCCATCATGGGGTAGGGTAAGGACTGTGCTCTGAGATTCTGGAAATCCGAAATAGGAAGGGCCTCACTGAAGGTTGCACCATACCAGCGACAGGTCCTGGGTCATTCAACAACACCGCAGGAATTCCTCCTCCTTTTGATTGGATGAAACCTCAGAAGGTAGGTAGGGATGTGAAGAGGGGGAAAGCACCGGTCCTGCAGTCTTTAGCCCTGGCCTTGACTCCCAGCTCCACCCACTGCTTGCCATGTGAAGTTATTAAGTCCCTCAGGTTCTCAGGGCTTCCGTGTCCTTATCTGTAAAATATGGTTATCACAGCATCCATCTCTTGAGAACTGTGAGAGTTAAATGAATTGATGGATGTCAAGGGCAGAAAATGATGCTTGGCTCATGGCGGAGGCAGAGTTCTCAGGGAGAAGAAATGGAGGCCCAAAGAGGGGACAGCCCTGTCCAATATCATCATCCAGTTCAATAGGGCAGGGTAGGAAATGAATAGGGCTTCAGAAAAGTTTAAAAGCTTCTGTCTCCAACCAAGAGATGATGTTGTTAGTAAGGGTGTTTTTATTGGGGGAAGTCAGCTCTCTTTCTTTCTCCAGGTAGGCTTGGCTATCATTGGCTCTGCCTCACCCATCCTGGGGCAAAGAGATCCTCCTGGGCCTGGGGTCTCAGAGGCCCAGGACAGGCCACACATACTCCAGCAGAGTCCCCTTGGAGGCTTTCCTCTCCAGTTCTGTCTCCCAACCCTGCAAGCAGTAATTATCCAGTCTTTGGCATTGAGCTGTGTATGCTGAGCTATGGGAGAGAAGGTCCAGGACCTTGGGGGTGTAGAGGAGAAATCAGTCTGCCCACGGGGTCTTTTTCTTACCTCTATTTGGAGATAGTCATGGCACCTCAAATTGTTGGGAGAGTTCAGTGAGTTAATACATAGAAGAGCCTCACATAGCGCCTGGTTCATTGTAACTATGATTAGTAGTATCCTATTAATAGTAGTATCCTCTTCTTTCAAGGTTCAGGCTGGATGTCACTTCCTCCAGGAAACTTTCCCTGACTTTGCTAGGCTGAGTTTGGTGCCTGAGTCTCCTGTGCATCCCTGGTCTTTCTGATCACTCAGAGTTATGATTGTTCTTATATTTGTTTTTGTTTTTTTGCAGTTTTTGGCTGGGGCTGGGTTTGAACCAACCACCTCCAGTATATGGGGCCAGTGCTCTACTCCTTGAGCCACAGGCGCTGCCCTGTTCTTATATTGTCTTTGTTCCATACTCAACAGTGAACCACAAGGAGGGATTGTGCCACACCTTGTTTAGTGTTGTATCCTCAATATGGCAGGTGCAGATAGGAGTGACAGTTAATTTTAGATGAATGTGTGAGGTTGATAAGTGCTGGGGGGTTTGAGGATGAGGCCCTCTATGCCACTTAATGTGTTTGACTTACACTCTCAGAGTTTCAGTCTCCCTACCCCAGATGAAATGGAAATAAAATAGCCCCTACCTAATGGGGCTGATGTAAGAAGCAAATGAGAACAGCACGACACCTGGCACATCACAGGTGCTCCGTGAACATTCATTGCTCTTCTGGCTGTTCCAGATTAAATACCCCCTACTTGTCCAGGCCTCTCCCAGTTTCGCCAACCTAAGAGAACTTCAGTCCTTGCTTTAGACTCCCTGGATCTGCTGCTCTTTCACCCTCTCCAGGGCCTTTGATTCACCTGTCAGACTATCCAGCACTCAGTCCAGGGCCTGGTTCAGAGGCCCTTGGGAAATGCTTACTGAAGCTCTGATGCCTGGCTCCCTTGCATGGAGGTCCTGTATAGCCTTCCTGCCTCTGCACTGTTATCCCTAGATTGCCCTTTCCTTTCTCTCAGTGTATGTAATCCTATTCTCATCCATCAAGACATAGACCAAATGAAATCTTCCTCCAAAACTCCTTCCTGAGCAGCCCATTGCTGTGACCTTCATTCCCTTGGAAATCCTAAAGCTCTGACTGCTTCCACCACTAACTTGCAACTTACACATAGGCTTATCAGCATGGTACCTTTAGGTGTATTGGTTTGTTCTGTTGGATAATTCTTCTCTTTCCATGCTATATTACCAATGAAATTTTGTTTTCTAGTGAGGCTGAAGGCATTTACCAACACTTATCATGAGGGAAAGGCAGTTCCTCTCCAAACAGCTGTGCATGTTAGGTATGTATAATATTATTCTAGATCATGCACAGATGGAACAAGAGGGTGGCCACCTGCAAGCCAAGGAGAAAGACCTCAGAGGCAACCAATCCTATTGGTACCTTGTTCTTAGAGAACAGAGCTATGAGAAAGTAAATTTCTGTTGTGGAATCCCCCTCCAAAAAAGTTATTCTATTTGTTCCCTGACTACTGAAAAAAAATTTTTTTAAAACAGAATAAGGTTTGCCATTTAGTTAATGATATTTTACCTATGTCAGTTTTCTAGTCTGGATATTATGGTACAGGTATATAAAATGTCACCATTCAGGGAAGCTGGATGAAGGCCACATAGGACTCTATTTTTGTACTACTTTTACAATTTCCTAAAAAGTATAATTATTTCAAAATAAAAATGTTTAAAGGGGGGCGGTGCCTGTGGCTCAAAGGACTAGGGTGCTGGCTCCATATACTGGAGGTAGTGGGTTCAAACCCAGCCCCGGCCAAAAAAAAAATGTTTAAAGAGTTTGAACCTGATTAAATATATATAATTATTATACATTTAATATTATTATATTATTAAATATGAAAACAGCATCTAGTTAGATAAGACATGCAGACTTGACTATGCATGCTTATTTATTAATAATTTTTATAATATAAAAAAGCTTGATAACAACCTAAATGTATAACCTCAGGGGATTGTTTTTGAGGACAGCAGTAGCATCCATACACTGGAACACTATGTAGATACTGGAAAGCAACAATTAGAATTGTATTTATTTATTTATTTATTTATTTTTTGGAGACAGAGCCTCAAGCTATCCCCCTGGGTAGAGTGTTAATGGCATCACAGCTCACAGCAACCTCCAACTCCTGGGCTCAAGCGAGTCTCCTGCCTCTGCCTCCCAAGTAGCTGGGCACAGGCGCCCACCACAACGCCCGGCTATTTTTGGGTTGCAGCCATCATTGTTTGGCGGGCCCAGGATGGATTCGAACCCGATACCTTAGGTGTATGTGGCTGGCGCCTTAGCCACTTGAGCCACAGGTGCCGAGCCAGAATTGTATTTATTATTTTGGGAAAATTTTAACAGTATCTTGGTGAGTTAAAAATACCAAATAATATATCTAGTCTGGAAAGATGTTCATTAAAACATTAAAAGTGATTGTCTCCGGGCAGTGGGATTGCAGAAAATTTTTTTATTTCTTTTTGCTAATCTATTCCATTTATCTTCAATGCAAGTATTATTTGTTCAGTAAAACATTTAAGAAGTAGAGATTAGCCGGGCGCGGTGGCTCACGCCTGTAATCCCAGCACTTGGGAGGCTTAGGCGAGTGTATTTCCTGACCTCAAAAGTTTGAGACCAACCTGAGCAAGAACTTGACACTGTATCTAAAAAAAAAAAAAATAGCCGGGCGCTGTGGTGGGGTGGGGGGTGGGGGGGTGCCTGTAGTCCCAGCTACCTGGGAGGCTGAGGCAAGAGAATTGCTTGAACCCAAGAGTTTGAGGTTGCTGTGAGCTAAGATGTCACTCTACCAAGGATGACCAAGGGAGACTGTCTCAAAAAAAAAAATAAAAAGTAGAGATTATATAATGTTTTGAAGGGGGTGATCAGAAAAGGAGGAGAAAATTAATAGTACCAAGAGTCGTGAGTGAGGTGGCTATAGCAATTGAGGTCCTGACAGACCCAACAAAACGGAAAAAATGGTGAAATTACCCCTGCATAAAAGTTCCTGGGAGCGTCTGACGTTTTCTTCTAGGACACAGAATTCCCGAAAGGCTGCACGGAAGAAGTCTAGCTTCAAACTAGCGAACTAGCTTTTCAGTCTAGCAATTGACTAGGCTTATAGCTCGGTTTTGACTCTTCCATTCGTAAGGTGAGTGACCTTCAGCAAAACTCTGCCCCTCTCAGAGGCTCAGTATTTCCGCCTGTAACATAAAGGAGATGGACTTCAAAGTCTCCAAGACCTTTTCCAGCTCCATCATGCTAGATTACTCAGCAGTTGACCGGATAGCTTTCTCAAGCTCCCGGCGGCAAGACAGTCGGGGAGCAGCGCCGCGGTCGCGGAGGGGTTAATACCGGTCGGCTCCGCCCCAGGAGAACCTCCCCCGCCGGGGTTGTACCCTTGATTCCGCCCCCAGGCCGTGCGTCCACCGGAAGTGCCCCCGTGCGCGGGCAGCTCACTTCCGCCCGGCAGGTGACAGCCGCGGGGCTCGGAGCGGCGGGCAGCACAGACGCACCGGGAGAGCGGGAGGAGGAGGCCGCGGACATTTTGCTGCCGAGCCGAACCGAGCCCTAGTGCCGGGAGCCGTTCGGACCTGCGGGTGAGGAAGCAGGGAGCCCCGCGAGTCAGGAGAAAAAGTGGGGCAGGGAGCCGGGGGGTCTGAGGTGAGGTGTTTGCCGGGTCAGAGGTCATGAAGAGGACGCGGCGCTAGGGAGGCGCGAGCTGCGTCCCCGGCCTGGATGAGGCGAAAAGCGTTGCGGGTTCATTCATTCGCGCCCACTTGGCCGCCGCCCGTTCCCTGGCCGCCTCAGTTCCGCAGCCCCTGCTGGAGCACTCGCCCAGAGACTCCTAGACTTAGGCCCCGCGGAGCCCGCCCCTGGCCCGAGGAAAAACTCTTTGGTCTGTGATTTCCCACTTCACACTCAACTCCTGTAGCCATCCTGAGGTCTCCTTGTTCAGGGCCTTGTCTCTTTGCCAAGGTTCAAAAAGGAAAAAAAAAAAAATCAAGAAACGCCCGTGCCACCTGCTCCCGGATAGGCTTGTGCTTGGTCTCCCTGTTGGAGCCTCAGGGACAAATTGACTGAATGGGAACACCTGTAATGCTAAAATATACAGAGGAAGATGCCTGCTTCGCTGCTTGGTTATTGAGCTCCGTGCTAAACACTTTACTTAGAATGCCACACAGCAACCCTTGTGAGGTGGCTACTTTTGTTGTCCCCATTTTATCGACAAGAACCCTGAGGCCCAGAAAGGTTAAATCACACATGTAAGGTCAGTTTAGTAGTAGAGGCAGGGCCCCAGGGAACCATTAAGTGCGAAGTGCGGAGACAAAGGAGTGGCAAGAGCAGGGTTGAGATGTAGGGGCTACTTAATATTTTTAGCTGCTGTTGTATTTATTTGGGTTTATGTCAATATGTAACCTGTTGCTTCTTGTTCGATCTCCATAAAGGGCATTTGATTCACTTTCTCTAGTATGAAACAATCCTGAGGCTGTTGTTGTGATTTACCTTGCAGGGGTAGAGTTTAAGATTTTCCTGACAGATAAGGAATTATGAGGCACAAAACAGGTTATCATCCATGAAGCTAATTGAAGAATATCCAGAACTTCTCTCTCTTTTTTTTTTTTTTGGTAGAGACAGAGTCTCACTTTATCGCCTTCGGTAGAGTGCCATGGTGTCACACAGCTCACAGCAACCCCCAACTCCTGGGCTTAGACGATTCTCTTGCCTCAGCCTCCTGAGTATCTGGGACCATAGATGCCCACCACAACACCCAGCATTTTTTTGTTGCAATGTGGTTGGGGCTAGGTCCGAACCCGCCACCCTCGGTATATAGGGCTGGTACCCCACTCACTGAGCCACAGGCGCAGCCTCAGCACCTCTCTTGAGAGTGGTTGATCTGCATTCCTTTCTGTGTAAGGAGAGAGGAACCACATGACCCCTAGAGGATGTTTGGGCCCTTTATTCTGAAAGAAAGTACCCAAAGGAAGGGTCTTTGCCTTTCTGAGAAATGTGCAGGCCCCATGACCTCTTGCTGGGGAGAGCATGTTTTGCCTGGTAGATAAGGAGATGGTTTGGTGGCTGGAGGGCTCTGTCTGCTCTTTGAGTATGAGTTTTACTCCTTTGTAGATATTCACTTACTCCAATTCTGCCTTAGTTTCCTTGACAGCACAAGAAAGGCCTATCACCTTCCTACTCACTGGTGGGTGTTATAAGTCTTAATGAACTTGTGAAGGTTCCACATGCTTCTGAAGTACCTTTCTTTTTAATTCCAGGATTTGTTCCTCTTGTTCCATTGAACTCACAGAAACTTAATAGTGTCACCTTATCCCTGTCCTTCCAAGGGAGGATTTGAGATGAAGGGACTTGTCACAGATGATAGGAACATTAGCAGAGCTCAGAGCCTTTGGCTCCCCGTCCTGAGTCAAGGCCACCAGTCTCATCCAACCTCGTAGAAACTGTCGTGAGGAGCAGCTTCAGTACTCAAAGAATCACATTCCTCACAGGTTGTGTTTAAGTCTCTATTGAGAGTGAGTTGAGCAGAGGCTTCATCCTGAGCTGCTTGAAGGGTTCAGAGGTATAATGGAAAGAGTACTGCCTGACTCCCTGTCGGTCAGCCTTGGATTTGACCCAGCTCAGCAGCTTCCCAGAAGTATGACCTGGATAATTTGCTTAGGCATGGCCTCCTTTACCACAGCTCTAAAATATTACTGACACCCCTTCCTTCTCCCCAACCCTGATTTGTGCAGAGTTTATTGTGGGTGCCCCTATCTTAAGCCAATTGAAGCCTGCTGAGGGCCCGTGAAGAGTGCTGTCAGCCCTGGCTTGAGGGGTGTTATTTCCTTCCGCAAATAGAGTCCTTCAAGTACTCAAAGACTTCTACACTTCTTGTTTCACTTCTTAAAAGTAGTTTAGAACAACTTAGTCTGTTGGTTCTACTGGCTCTGGGCATGGACTGTTCATCTTTTTCTAGTCATTCTCTGAAAGTATTGTGTGTCTTAACTGCTCACTTCCTGAACACGCCACCCTCCCATGTCTGGCACCAAAATAGGACTTGCTGACAGTAAACAAGCGTGACTTGGGTATGGGTTTTGAAAGTTAAGGGGCATCAGTTCTGAAGATGTTTCTTTTTCTGAACAAGTCTCTTTGCTTAAAATAGGTCATTGATATCACAGCCCAGAAATGAATTTTCTTATATCTCCACACAGAAAGGAACAAATACTAGAGAGACAAAATATCAAACAGTTGGGGAATCTGGGAATCCTTTAAAAAAATCCTGCTTGATGGCTTGGCACCAGCCACATATACCTGAGCTGGCGGGCTCGAATCTAGCCTGGGGCCCGCCAAACAGTAAGGACGACTGCAACCAAAAAAAATAGCCAGGGGTTGTGGCAGGCGCCCCTAGTCCCAGCTACTGGGAAGGCTGAGGCAGGAGAATCACTTGAGCCCAGGAGTTGGAGGTTGCTGTGAACTGTGATTGGAGGTTGCTGTGAACTGTGATGCCATGGCACTCTACCCAGGGCGACAGCTTGAGATTCTGTCTCAAAAAAAAATCGACTTGGTGCCTGTGGCTCAAGTGGCTAACGTGCCAGCCACATACACCTAAGGTGGCAGGTTCAAATCCATCCTGGGCCACCAAAACAACAATGACGGCTACAACCAAAAAA